AGTGCAACACGCTTCGCATGCTCAGCCATAAGCGCTGGCGCTTGGAGCTTGGCTGAAGGGATTCAGGGCTTAGTGCATTGCAGTCCCTGCCCAAAAAAAGGATTTAGAGCTTAGGGTTTAGGGTTTGGGGTTTAGGTTGTAGGGTTTAGGGTTTAGGGCCCTACCAGGGGTACCATGCGGGCTACTACACGGAGGATTTTGAGTTCGGGGCTTGCAGACTGGGGTGCAGAAAGCTGACGTGACAATTGGGGTTCGGGTTCTGGGTGTAGGGGATGTTTAGGTGATTGGGTGCAGGCTCTGGGTAAAACAAAGTCGACGCCTGAGGTGGTACAGAAACCCCAGAAGCTCCTAACCCTCGACACGGAGGAGTCGAGTACCCTTTTAAAAAAGGAATATCGGACTATCCCATTTACTTTTCGAGGAAGAGCCCGTAACTTTAACACTGTTTTCTTGGGAAAAAATTCTTGGGTTCTGGGGCGAACCGGGCTCTCTGCGAACCACCAAACAGGGCTTCCCACGCCAGGTCTGCTCCCTCGACGGCGCGGGTGCAGAGGGTCGGGCTTTTGAGTTTCTGCTGTGGACGTGCTGCGAAGGTGTTTAGTTTAGAATAGTTTAGAGTTTGTGTTCAACTTCGGGGTTGCGCCCACTCCGCTCTAGATTCTGGGTCTGCCGGCCTGCTGTAGTCCAGACAGTCGCAGTCGTAGTCACTGTGACCATGGGCGAAAAATGGGTATGACAGCCCTAGATGTAAGGTCCCGGTCAGGTGCTAGTCCTAGTCCCGGACACGGCCTGTTGTTCCTTGGGCTTGTGCGTCTAAAGTCGAGCCTTTTTCTGAATCTTGCTCCTGCACCTCACGTCCTAGATCCTTAAGTTGGTTGCCACGAGAAACACTTTCTGATTTCGGTATATGACAGATCCCGACACCGGGGTTCAAACCCTAAGAATTAAGCAGCACCTGAGAGTTTCAGCAAGACTCTTTCGAATGTCCATGGGCAGTTACGAGACGTTACGAGTAAGGCCATAAGTTTTCGAGGTGGCGATGTGTACAGTTTCTGCCGATATGTATGCTTACTTAAACTAGCAATATTGACAGTTACTGCGGCTAGAAATCACGCTTACTTGCCTCCGCGGCCTAGGTGCAAACTGGGGCACCCCGGCCAGCGATCACCAGCTACGCACAAGCCTCATGGGGCTTCGGGTCAGTGCGTTTTTGTCCGCGGGGTTCAAGTCGTTCCTGCAAGTGCAAAAGCCTCGGCCCGGCGTTGAGGTGTGAGACAGAGTTCTCAGGCGTGAGAGACGTGAGCTTCAGCTCGTATATAGCTGTTGACGTGGTGGGCTTGCTGAAAGGAGCAGCACGGCCTTGCTGTGAAAGCAGCATGTTGGACTTTCGACATGCATCCTGCCCGGTTTTTTGCTTGGGATTGCTGAAGCCCTAAGTGCGACAAAAACCAACACAACACACCCCGAGCTTTCAGAGCAACGCTGACCCTCGGCCCTTAACCCGGGCCGTAAGTTCAATCAACTGACCCGTTGCTCCGTGTCCAAGCCCCGCACCTCATCTCGTAGAACTCCTGAACAAAGCTTTGTTGGGGCTGCTTTGCATATGGTTGGTTATATCCCTGACTTACAACCCTGCTTTTTAGGCTACCCGTCTCGCGAGTGAGCTCCTTCAGCAAAAGGCCTCTGCCTCCAAACCTAGCATCTCGTTTAAGAGCCGTTGGGGGTTCCTTAATGGGCTCCTTTAAGGGTTCAGGGCTCCTTTAAGGGCTCCCTTATGGATTCCTTTACCGGCTGCTTTGAGGCTTCTTCAATGCGGTTTCCAGGTATCTTGGCTACTCTCTCCGAGGCATCGGGTCCTCGTCCTGGCAGCCGGGGTGCAGGAGGTGGCCATGTATGTCACAATATATAAAAAAATATATATATACATATATATACACATACACACACACAGATATATATATATATATATATATCTGTGTACACACACACATATATGTATATATATATATTCATATATACATACCTGCTATGCAGTGTCTTCGGACAGTGCCACGTGGGACCCAAAAAAACGTATGTATATATACATACATACACACATACATACATACATTCATACATACATACATATATATATATATATTGTGATTGATTGTCATAGTGAAAGAAGGTTTTGCAGGGTTCATATTTGGGAGGTCATAGGGTTTTATTGCTTCATGCCAGGGTTTTATGAAGTTCTCATGTGGTTCTACAAGGTTCCGGGCAGTTTTAGCGGTAGAGTGTGTTTCGGATTTGGGAACTGGGCCGACTTTGTGGTGTTTCAATTTTTGCGGTCTCTGGGGTTTGGGGATGTCGGTGTTCCCGTTGAGAGTTTAGAGAATGTGGTTGCAAGCCTCGTAGGATAGTATATCCGTTCAGGGTATAGTGTCGTGACTTTACCTTCTACATTGCTAAGAATGTCCCCTCAGTGCGAGTCAACTAAGCCGTCAAGCCTACCTTCACACCGCAAGTACTTGCTTCCCACGGCGACGATCTGCTTCTTGTTCAGGCGGCGCGGTGCCGCCCGCAGGCGGCGAGGTCTGTCAGCCTACCTGGGGAGCGAGGGTTCTTGGGATTTGGGATCCTTAGGCAAAGAGTTCAGGTTCCAAAGCTTGCAGGTCTGAAGCCAAAAGCCGAACCCAGGACCCTATAACGGCCCTATCAAAATGTCCCAAAACCACCGACTTCCCGTTAGCCCGGGCCCTGCAGCCCCAGCAGAGAGCAGGTCGCGTTAGGCCCGGCGGGCTGGCAGAAGCCAGTCCTCCGCCCAGCGCTTCAGTGGGAGCCCTGGAGGGGTTTTCAGGCCCAGGAACCGGGAGCTTCGAGGCTTCAGGGTTTGGGAGCGAGTTTTGGTCATTTGGTTTGGGGTGCTTCGGCGAAGAGTTCTGAGATTCCAAGCCCTAGACAGGCTGACGAGTTGCCCTGAAGACTCGTGTGTAGGATCTTGGAGAGACTTGTTGGACAGCCAGGTTCTCGTAGCGTGCAAATCTGGCGGGGGCCCCAAACCCAAAACTCTAAACCCTGAGCTGTAACCCCTCGAGCCCTGAGCTTGCCCTAACCTCTTTGTGGCAGTATTGCTGTACACTGTACACGGGATCTTTGAACCCGTCTTCCGTCATTGGCACAACCTCTGACAAGAGAACGCGCCCAGGAAGAGCTTCCACACCAGAGGAAAAGAAGAACAAACCATGGTCCGAGCTAGGCTGCGAACCATCGGACGCCGAGCAAGACGTTTTTCAACGATGCATTCTCACCTTCTTGGCATCGCTGCACATGCTGCAAAGAGGCGAGGTCAGTTCTCCACCGCTCACGTTGACAGCCCTGCTGGAGCGTCGGGAGATTCGCACATTCGTGATCTCCGACGAGGTCTCGGGACAGATAAACTTCCTGCTGCAAAGCTGCCTTCCGCCTGCCGCTTCTGCTCTCGATCCACAGATCTTCGAACTTTGCTACTGATTCACTTGAAACATTGGCTGGGAAAATCTTGCCACGACCATTCAGTTTGCCAGGGCACTGTGGGCTCCGTCAACCAAGATGATCAGGGCATTTGGCCCGGTCGTTCTGGAATCTCGGAAGAGGCGCTGCGTCTCTGACCAATCCGGAGTTGCTCAAAGCTCGAATGTTAGAAATAAATCCATTCTTTATATTCACCTAAATTGTCGGTGGTTTTGTTTTCTAACTTGAGATCTGCAGACTGGCGAAGAGCAGTAGACGAGAGGTGATGTCCAACATGGATGAGAAAGACCAGGTTCTCAAATGTGTCGCAGCCGAAGCGAAGAACCGGACGCAAACAACTTTGTGAGGCGACACATGGTAGCATCTTGAAGTTGAAAATCACCTAGAGCTTCTGCACTTTGACTTCAGTTGCCTGTGTTGTACCTTTCCGGCACTTCCCGTGTACGAGGAGTACTGAGAGAATGCATGCTACAGTCACCGGAGAGCGCGTCGCATAGTCTGGTCCCTGCAGCCATCTTCGCTTGTCCTCTTGTGATCCTTGCATCTTTCTGCTTCTGAGATCTTGAACCGAGAAGCTGGCTGAGGGGATGTTCAATGTATCACAACACTTGACAAACTGTGACATCGTGACCGGCCTATTGAGACTGTCCTGGGTATCAACTGAACTTCAGAACTGGGCAGTATCAGTGGATGTTAGTTAGAGGTGACCATCTTGGTCAAAGTGCAGATACTGTGGCACTCACTGGGAGAATGTTGGTTTACAGGGTTTATCTGTAGGGCCTGGGTTAGGTGCATTGATCCATGTGTTGTCATATACCCCTTGTGATGTAGAAGTGGTTGCCACGTCGAGAATGTAGTCAGTTGACTGTAGTTGGAGACAGAGACCTCGTGGAGTCCGAGCTGCGAGAGCGGAAACGCGGAAACCCTAAACCGAAATGCCAAACCGTGTAAATGCCTTCAATATCATGAGGCTCAGGGTGTAGGTTGAATGTCCTAGGGCTTAGAGGAGACCAAGTAGTTGCAGGTTGACCCCCGCAGGCCAAACTCTAGAGCTTCAGCTGTCGTTTCAGGCCTGGGCAGCCCTAAAACCCTAAACCCTAAACCCTTAAACCCCTAAACCCCTAAACCCCTAAACCCTAAACCCTAAACCCTAAACCCTATACCCTAAAACCTTCGGGTTCCTGTCCGAGGCCGAAGAGTGGAAAAGCTGCTGCGCCCGCGGGCTACGCAGGCTCTTCCGGTTGAGTAGGGCTTGGGGACGTTGTGTAGGCTGAGATATGTGGTCTGGGATTACATGACATGCCAACCATGATCTCACATTCCATTGGTGTGCCGTCGCTGCACTGATCTCTGCAGGAGTCGTTCTGTGGCGGTGGCCGCAGCAGAAGTTCCTACTTTTTTCGTGTGGAAAGGGCTGCATCTGAGCATGGCCGCCGCTCCAGGCTACGGCTCAAGGTCGAAGCTGGAGAAAATAAACCCTATAGTCTCCTACACGAGAGGAACAGACCATGGCCCCCTCCAGCCAGGTTGCCGTCGCTGCCTTGGCAGCCGCAGGCTGCACGGCCTTCGTCGTCGCTCCCAGTGCCACGCGCGGCCCTGCTCTGCGCAGCACCGTGCAGGGCCAGGCAAAGGCGTCCTCGACCTCCACGACCGGCCTGGCCATTTGCGGCCTAGGTGCGGCAGTGGGCGCTGCCATCGCCGCGCCCAAGAAGGAGCGGGTGGCTCTCCGTGCCTTTGAGACGGAACTCGGAGTGCAGCCCCCGGCCGGATTTTGGGACCCGCTAGGCAGGGGATGAAGTCGAAAAGAAACTTCAGTGGCGCCTCTTCTTCAGATTTTCAGCTGAGGGTTTTTGGTTTCGACCGACCCGTCAGGCTTCACCAAGGGCGGTGATGCAGCCTCTTTCCGTCGACGACGGTATGTGGAGCTAAAGCACGGGCGCGTGGCAATGTTGGCATGCATGGGATACATCGTTCCTGAGTACTACCGATGGCCAGGTGAGCTCTCTCCTTCCCTCGGCATCAAGTTTACGGATGTCCCAACTGGCTTCGCCGCCTTCTCAAAAGTGCCTCTTAGCGGCTGGGCGCAGATGGTGGCCTTCGCTGGTAGCGTGGAACTCTTCCAGTACGTGGATGATCCCAAGCGTGCCCCGGGCGACTTTGAGAACGCGGGCCTCCTGGGCATCCCCAACGGCTTCATGAAGGCTCCGGAGGGCCAGAAGGAAAAGAAGCTAGCTGCGGAGATCGCAAACGGCCGCTTGGCAATGATGGCTATCATTGGCATGTTCTTCCAGAACGGATTGACAGGACAGGCATGGGGCGACTGGTCCCTGTACACTGACTCCCCGCTGCGCGCCTTGACGCCGGCACAGGAGATCATTGCCGGGACTGGTGGCCCTCTCCCTGACAACTTCTGGGATCCGGCGGGCATCACGAATGGCAAGACCGAGAAGGAGATCGCAATGCTCCGTGCCATGGAGCTGAAGCACGGGCGCGTGGCGATGCTTGCAGTGCTCCACTAGTTCCATGTGGCCGCAGGCTACCACCTCTTGGGTGATTATGCCATCGGCGAGAGGATGAGCAACGACCCCCTCGTCAGCTTGACCCAGCTCCCCATGGGAGGCATGTGGCAGGTGATCTTCACCATCATGTGCCTCGAGTGGCTGACCACCTACATCTGCAAGCCCCCTGAGGACCGCCCTTGGGACGTGCTCGGATGGAAGGGAATCATCGACGAGGACTACCCTTCCGAGATCTGGAACGGATGGAAGCGGGTCCAGTGCCAGGAGCTGAACAACAGCCGCCTTGCCATGGTGGCCATCACCGGACTCGTCGCCCAGGACGTTGTCACCGGCGACTACGTCGCAGGTGTCGGCAAGCTCTGCGGCGGTGCGGCCGTCTGCAACCAGCCCATTGACTACTCTCCTTGGCAGAACCTCCCTCCCATCGACGACTTCGTGGCCAACGCACCCTCTTGGGCCAACGGCCCGGCCCTCTACGGCGTCAACTAAGCGCCTGCGTAGGAGCGGTAGTCAGCGAAGCTTGAGGGGTCTTTCGTGAGACCTTGAGACCGCTGAGCCCTCCAACAGCTGGAAAAAGCCGAGAGCACGGGCCACGGCCCGGGTCCTTGCGGAACAGGTGTTGCGTGCTTTTATGACATGGAGCCTTTACTCGCGCCAATCCACTGGCAAGAGTGGCCGAAGCAAATTCAGCATGAAAATTTCGATTCGGACCCGCTGAAGTCTTTGAAGGCTGAAATCCCAACAACCCTGCCAGGTTTGCACCAGGCCAAAGCCAAGCCGCAGAGTCCGGCTGGCTCGGTCAAGGCCGCAGGGATCAGGGGTTCTCAGAGTTCTTTCATTGTTGGGGGGTGGAGGGGTTCAGGGTTGTGTAATGCAGCGGGCCTGCGTGACTTCCTTGGTGACCAAAGAATCCTCCTCCCACTCCCCCTCAGCTAGGACACAACCCTACAAAAGCGAGGAACCGCAATGCGGGCTCGTCCTAGCTAGGTGGGAGGCCCAGAAAAACCCTGAACCCCCAACCCCAAACACTTCGACCCTAAACCCTAAACCCCTAAACCCTAAACCCCTACACCCTAAACCCTGTACCCCTAGACCCTAAACCCCTAAACCCTAAACCCAACATGGAAGGCGGCGCCCGCCGCGAAGCCTCGCTGTGGGCCGGCGGCCTTTCAGCTGATCAAAAAGATCGAGAGCCAGGCGGGGCTTTAGGCTTCCTAGGGGGGGATTTAGGGTTTAGGCGGTTTAGGGTTTAGGGAAAAGGGCCTTATTTAGGCTTCCTAGGGGGATTTAGGGTTTAGGGTTTAGTTGTTTAGGCTTCCTTGGGGGGATTTAGGGCTTAGGGTTTAGGGCTTTATTTAGGCTTCCTGGGGGGGTTTTGGGTTTAGGGTTTAGGGTTTGGTTGTTTAGGCTTTCTTGGGGGGATTTAGGGTTTAGGGCCTTATTTAGGC